ATATTCTGTATTAAATGTATTATCTCTTTGTGACACTACAAATACATATAGTCCCTGAACTAGCCTTTTTTTTCCTGCAGCAAGAACTATTTTACCTAGAATGACAGATCAGAAGTAATAGTTCTGAAAGGCGGGACACAGAAAAAAATAATCAGGGTCAAAAGTTGACACCAAGCCTAGAAGCCCAGCCTAGTTTGAGGCAAACCTGTTGTGGTCCTAGAAATGAACACCAGTGTTGGAGCCCACTAACCAGACATCAAAACTCTACCATGTGCAGTGGCCTTGCAAGCAACTGTGACTGCTCTGGATATGCCTAGTCTGGCCCCAAAATGGACCCCTGCTCTCATCAAAACCAGATTCCAACTATTACATTCTCTCCTAGCGCAAGGACTGGGATCTCTGCCTGAGACTTCAGCCACAGGAAAGGAGACTACATTAACACTATGAGATCACTAAGAAACCTGCCCTCAGCCAAAAGACTTCCTTTCCTCTCCAAACTCAAACACAGCCAGCTCCATGGTGGGCACTGCCCAACAGCATCAGCTGCAGGTGAGTTTTGAAGTGTCTCTGGGAGAGCCCTTCCTATAGCACTTTCCCCCTGAGGACACACCCAGCTCAGTTTGAAGAATACACCAGTGTGTCAAAGAAAGAAAGAAATAGGAAAAAAAGTTAGTGAGACCCCTAAACTCTCCAGCACCTACCTGGTAAGGCCTAGAAGAATCCAAATTGGTCCCTATAAGGGAAGTGAACATAGAAGGTAAAAGTCAAAACAGTATTACCAGATAGAGCTTTGCCCCCAGCTTCTCTGGGGAAAAAAAAACACCTGAATGAGCAGACCCTATTTCAGAGGGTCTTACTTTGACTGATCTTGATGAGCCTAAGCTGCCTGAGTCAAAAGCATTTGAGTGGGTTCCTTGTTCCATTGTCTCTAGACCTATACTGTCTCTTATTCTCCATGAGAAAAGATAAGGAAAGATAAACCTGTGGAAAAACACACCCCTAAAAGAGACAGTCTTTCCCCTATGGTTCCCAGTATTGGCTTAAAGTTACCTACTCAGTGTCTTCCTAGGGCAGAGAAGAAGAGGCAGCCCTTCCTCTCCCTCCACCCCCCTCATACCCTCGCTCCCCTAGGAACATCGGCTCCTGCCTAAGTCGCTGTATGAAGAGTGGGGATTCCAAAGGAGACAGCTCCTGCTGGAACATTCACAGGAACACCAGCAGTAGCCTCCTGGGGAAGATGCAGGAAGGAAAGCACCCCCCCACACACACACACACCAGTCTTGGATAATAAACAAGACTTCTTAATTTTCTGTTTTACTCATCATGACTTATGAAAAACAATAAACTTAGAAATTAAAAACTAAAAGAAATTTAAGTGCCTAGGACAGTGCTTATTATTCAAATACTAGAGGCCCGGTGCACAAAAA